TGAGCCACCGGCCTGGCCTAGAATTGCTCTTGTACGACCAATTAAGAGATGTCTTTCAAGCAGTCACCTTGGGAGATTTAATTTATTCTAGTAGTGCTCCCTTTTACTACTGCAAAAAACCCACCAACCCAACCCACAAAATTCAGATATAACCAATCATTGTTTTAAGCCACTAAAGGTTTGCGGTGGTTTGTTATACAGTAATAGACAAGTGAAACAGAAATGTTTAAATCGCTATACTTTGGGAGATATTTAAAAAGAAATCATTAGCCTTACAGAAAAACTCTAGCTATCCAGAACTCTCAGAAAATTAGTTGTTTGGCTGTAACTTTAAATAAACAGAATATAGTCAACTTTAACAAACTATGGCTGTATCTTTAAATAAACAGAACAAAACAACTTTCAAAGAACAAGAAAAGGACATTTTGGAAGTGAAACAATTCCAGAATGAATGGGACCAGCAGTAGGTCCCCAGCTTTCTCCTCTGCAGTTTTTGTTTTTGGTGGTCATCTAAACCCTATCTATGCTGCCTTTAGGAATACTTTGCTCTCCTTTTTTCTTTTACCTGAGCATGAATAAAAATAACTTTCCATTTTCCCCTAAGTACAATAATTACAAGGGAGCATTTTCTTTTTTAAAAGAAGTTTACAGGAAAAGAAAGGAACCATAAAAATATAAAAACAGATAAACAAGTTAAATATAGATTTTAACATAAGATACTTATCCTAAGATAAGTAAGTTAAGTGTAGACTTTGGATCTTAAGATAACTAAATTCTAGCCAGAATTTAGCTGGCCCTGTTTTTCTCTCCACCCAGTTATCAATCCATTGTCCTTGTCCACAGGAACTCACAGAAGTCAAAAACACAGCATACATTTCAGAGCTCACAGTCTACTCTTCTTAAGGAAGATAAAAAACTATTTTATTAAATCAAGAATTCCAAGGAACAGAGGTACCAAATTTAATTCTTCTTAGGTACCAAAATTAATTAAAAAAATTTTTTTGTTTTGGTAGAACTCTTTCTAAAATGTATTAAACACTTTTATTTGGCATATATACGCTATAATTTAACTTTTTCTCAATGACTCACTACTGTTAACACTAATTAATATACTAGGCTAAAATACTGTTCTCAATGTCTATTAAGAACTTACATACCAAATCATCAAACCTATAAGGATTATGTGTTAAGAGTAAATATGGTTCACTTTTGCCATTTCTATCCAATAGTAATAGAACTTAGCCTGAGAAATTAGGCAAGAAAAAGAAATAAAAGGCATCCAAATCGGAAAAGAAGCAGCAAAATTATCTTTATTCCAAGACAACATGATCTGGTATGTACAAAACTCTAAAGATTTTACAAAAAAAACCTGGTAGAATTAATAAACGAATTCAACAAAGTGTCAGGACAGAAAATCAACACATAAAATCAGTTTTCTATATGCTAAAACTGAATAATCTGAAAGGAAATTAAGAAAACAATTCCATTCACAATAATATCAAAATGAATAAAATACTTAGGAATAAACTTAACCAAGGAAGTGAAAGAATTATACACTGATAACTCCAAAACATTTCTATAAGAAATAAAACAAACAAATGGAAAGATATCCAGTGTACATGGATTGGAAGACTTACTGTTGTTAGAGGCGTCAATACTACCCAATGTTTTTTGCAGAAGTAGAGAAATCTATCCTGAAATTCATATGGAATGTGAAGGAATTCTGAACACCACCTCCCCAAAAAAAATCTTGAAAAAGAAAACCAAAGTTGGAGGACTTACACTTCCTGATTTTCTAAGCTTATTACAAAGCTACAGTAATCAAAACAGTATGGTACTAGCATAAAGACAGACACATAGATCAATGGAATAGAATAGAGAACCTGGAAATAAACCTTCCCATATCTGGTCAAATGATTTTTGACAGGGGTGCCAACACCAATCAATGGAGAAAGAACAGTCTTATCAACAAATGGTGGTAAAAAAACTGGATATCGACAGGGAAGAAAATGAAGTTGAACCCTTATCTTATATCATATGTAAAAATTAACTTAAAATGTATCTAAGACCTAGAGTTAAGAGCTAAAACTATAAAAAAAATAACTTAGAAGAAAACTTAGGGGAAAGCTTCCTGTCATTTAATTTGGCAATGATTCTAGGATATAACATGGAAAACAGGCAATGAAAAAATTAGATAAACTGGACTTCATCATACTTAAAACCTTTTGTACATCAAAGAATGCTATCAACAAAGTGAAATGGCAATCCAGGGAATACGGAAAAAATATTTGCAAATCATATATATGATGATGGATTAATGTTCAAAATATATATAAAAAGCTCTTACAACTCAATAATTAAAAAAACTCAATTCAAAAAAAGACAATGAACTTGAATGGATATTTGTCCAAAGAAGACACATAAATGGACAATAAGCACAAGAAAAGATGCTCAACATCTTATCATTAGAGAATTACAAATCAAAACCACAATGAGGGCCAGGCGTGGTGGCTCACACCTGTAATCCTAGCACTCTGGGAGGCTGAGGCAGGCCGATTGCTCGAGGTCAGGAGTTCCAAACCAGCCTGAGCAAGAGGGAGACCCCATCTTTACTATAAATAGAAAGAAATTAATTGGCCAACTAATATATCTAGAAAAAATTAGCCAGGCATGGTGGCTATTAAGAACTTACATACCAAATCATCAAACCTATAAGGATTATGTGTTAAGAGTAAATATGGTTCACTTTTGCCATTTCTATCCAATAGTAATAGTTCCATGGTTCCAGCTAGTCCATGGTTCCAATAGTCCATGGTTCCAGCTACTCCGGAGGCTGAGGCAGCAGGATTGCTTGAGCCCAGGAGTTTGAGGTTGCTGTGAGCTAGGCTGATGCCATGGCACTCACTCTAGTCTGGGCAATAAAGCGAGATTCTGTCTCAAAAAAAAAACAAAAAAAAAACAAAAAACACAATGAGATACCACTTCATATCCTATGGGGTGGTTATTATTAAAAAAGAAAGTGTTGGCAAGGATGTGGAAAAACTGGAACCTTCATGCACTGCTGGTAAGAATGTTAAATGATACAGTCATTGTGGAAAACAGTACGGTGGTTTGTCAAAAATATTAAACACAAAATTACCACACAATCCAGCAATTCTACCTCTAGAACTGAAAGCAGGGACTCAAACATAATTGTACACTCATGTTCACAGCAGTATTATTCACAATAGCCAAAAGATGGAAGCAACCCAAGTGACCATCAATGGATAAATGGATTAATAGCATGTGGTATTATACATGCCACGGAATATTATTTAGCCTTAAAAAGGAGGGACATTCTGCTACAAATGACAATGTGGATGAACTTTAAAAACATTATGCTGAGTGAAGTAAACCAGTCACAAAGGAATAAATATCTTATGATTCCACTTATATGAGGTACCCACAGGAGTTGAATTCACAGAGACAGAAAGTAGAATGGTGGTTGCTAGGGGTAGAGGAAAATGAGGAGTTACTATCTAATGGATACAAAATTTTAGTCTGGGAAGATGAAAAAAGTTCTGGAGATGGATGGTGGTGATGATTGCACAACAATATGAATGTACTTAATGTCACTTGAGAATGGTTAAAATGGTAAATTCTATGTTATGTATATTTTGCCACAATAAAAAAAAGAGAGTAAAATATGGTACAACAAAGGTTTTGCTATGAGTTATGCTTTTTGTTAGAATCCCACTCCCCGACTCCCACCACCCAGCTCTCTAAGAGCAATGTTGACATCTGACCACTGAAAATAATGCTCTCATTTTGCACAATGGACTCATTAACAGAAATTACAATATTATATGTCAGTATTTGAGTGGGTGTTTTTTTCTGGGTAACCTCAACACTGACCGTCAGACTATCTCTACAGAGCCTGCCCTTACCCTAACATGCAGTGAGCCATCTCTTCAGTCAAGTGACTTTTAACAGGTGCACAGTTGTTGAGTATGGGTATCAGGGAGAAATGGGTGAGTTATTGTCCTAAATTTGCAAGGAAGTCCCAGAGAGAAAAATAGGACACATAAGCCTCCCCATGAACTTGCCAGATTTACCAAGTAAAAATACAGGACTCCCTGTTGTTTATCTGAAATTCAAGTTTAACTGGGCATCCTGTAGTTTATCTGGCAACACTCTGATGTGAGTGAGGATAAAGTAGAAAAGCCCATTAAAAATGTTATTGGTTAAAAACAAAAACCAAAAAAAAAACGGTATTGCTTAATCTATCCAGCTCAGGATCCCCTCCCAAATGTTGAGTTTCTATGATCCAAGACTTTATGAAGACATGTCAGAGGGCAGGAGAAAGAAAGTGGAGAAGTATAAATCAAAGCTAGAAATGGGTGAGAACATATCCAGCCTCTAGTTAAGGCAGGCCTGGCTTCACAAATGAATCTTAAACATCAACACAGAAATAGAGGAAATCAGATTGTGACCTGGCTCAAAGCAGGAAAGAAACAATGGTGGTAAGTGCCCTATGGCCAGCCATTTAGCAGAAGGAGGGGCACAGGTAACAGAATGCCAGGGATACTGGCTGGATTTGCTCTTCCTTTCCCTAAGCCATACCACCGCTTAATATCTAAGGAGCCTACTAAGAAACTCCAATTGCTATTTTTATTTGCTAATACTTTGAGCCCCAGTATAATGCCACTACTAACTACAAGTAGTTGGGCAACTACTTCTCAGCTTATAAACTCCTACAGCTTTCCAGCCATTGTTTCATCACTCAGCAATACTACCTACTTCCGCGCAGAACCTGGGCCAAAACTGAGGTCTCTAAATCCTTTTATACTCTCAGGAAACTGAATCTGCTCAGGTCATCCTCATAGGAATCAACAAACAGGTTTCAGGCTCTCTGTTCTTTGAGAATTTCATCTTTAAAAGGCCGATGTTCTTGTTTATCACCGACACTATTCACATAGCGGTAATCCTTGCCTGACTCTGCTCTAAAGAGACATAAATGGTCCATATGTCTTGATCATACTACAGTGGCATTTAGGAACCTTTGATATCTCTATCACACACTTGGCCTGCATGAGATGTCTATCCAGTCCCTGAGAGGAAGGGGGGTATCTAGGAGGTAAAGGGTACTTCATTCCTCCAATCCGTGTGAAGTACCAGCTGATCAGCTGCACTGAGTCAGCTTTAAAGGCTGTGGCTGGCCTGCAGAACTCTTCCCCTGAGAGAGCAGCTAGTCTCCAGGGAAAGAGGAATAGTCACTGGGGCAAAGCTCTTTCTTGATTATCTCTGTAGCCTCTAAAGGCACTAACCAATAAGAATTTCTGCAGCTCCAGCCCTGCCTTTTTTTTTTGTAAACAGAACATAAACAGAAAACAGCTGATGCATAGAAGCTCCTATGCAAATGAGATTAGATGAATGAATAGAAAGGCTTGATATATTCCTAGACTGAAAGAGTGAAGTAATCTCCCAGATGTTCTTCCTTTTTCCCCCTTTCATGTAACTGGAGACACCTTTCCCACTTATGCACTCTGCCTCCCAGCCCCTGCACTGGGGTCATCCATCCATCCATCCATCCATCCATCCATCCATCCACCCACCCACCCGTCAGGTGTTTACTGAGTGCTATCATATGCCAGGCACTGTGCTGCGGACCAGCGACACAAAGACGAATAGCATACGGTCCTTGCCTCCAGCGCAGTCCCCCATGTGGCAGGGCTGCCCTGGAGGTCCACAGCCAGCCTTGTGCAATGGGATCACGGTGAGCGCAGCGGCAGGGGACGGGCAAACCGCCAAGCCAAGGGTTTTACCCCCGCTCCCAAAGCTGGATAGAGGAGAGAGGGGGAGAGAGAGAACCGAAGCCAGCCGGTGCAGGGCAGATGCCAACTTGGGACAGAGACTCGGGCTGGGGATGGGCTGTGCGGAGGCCCCTGCCGCAGTCGCGGGCCCGGGTGCCGGGCGCCCACGCTCCTCCAGGGCTGTCACAGGAGATTTGGGTATAACGATGACCACTGGGCGCGAGTCGGTTGGGGGAGCAGTTCGAAGAGACGGTTGGGGGTGGATCTAGGGTGGCGCCCAAAGGAATGGCTGGTGCTGGGTGTTTGAGGGTGCTGGGTGAACGGTGGAGCTGAAGGGTCAGGAGAAGGACTGGGGATGGATGAGGTCTGTCCAGAGGGTCAGAGCCAAGCGGGAGGGTGGAGCCGCGGCGGAAGGGTTGAGGGGAAGGGCGGCGGCGCCGAGGGCTAGATGGGCGGGCAGACAGAGGGTCTTCTCCTAAGGGATCACTTAGAACGTAGGGACAATGGATCTCTAGGACCCTGCTGGCCTCCGGAGAGGCGCTCCTACCTCGTTTTTCGCCTCAGCCTCGTCCTTCCGCGCGGACTGCGGCGGCTGCAGCGGCGGCGGCGGCGGCGCCTCGCGCCCTCCAGGGGTCGCGCTGCAGCCGGACACGCCGGCGCCCCCCTCCTCAGACGGCTTGGTAACGCCCGGGCCCCCCTGCCGGCGTGTCGCCGATGGTGCGATCCGGGTTGCCAGTGCCTCCGGCCCCTCCGGCGGCGTGTTGGTTAGGCCTGGTGGGCCCGCTGCGCTCGCCCCGCTCCCGGCTCCCGCGGCGAGGGGCGCAGCCGGAATCACGCGCGCGCCGCGCTCGCTGCGGACGGCGAGGCTGCGGCCGGCCCCGCCTTCTGCGGACCGCGCGCCGCGCCTGCGGGCGTGCCCGGCGGCCTGCGGCCCTGGGCGCCGGGACCCGAGGGGGAGGGCCGGGGGCGCCGGCCTGCTGGCCTGGAGGGCGGGTGTGTGCGGGCTCCCAGCTTCGCCCAGAGCAGCGGTTGTTAACCCTGCCTCCCCAGTAGAACCTCGTGAGCAAGTTGAAAAAAAAAAGGAAAATAAAATAACAGCAAAGATCGGAGACCCAACCTGACCCGAGACAGACTGACTCAGAATCACTGGGGTGGCGTGACGTGGGGATTGGGTGGCGCCCAGGCTTTGATATTTTTAAAAAGCACCCTATGCCTGCCTAGGGTTAAGCAGCCTTGGTAAATCCTGGACCTCGTGTGTCTCCTGCTCTTCAGTACAGAGCGGGTGGGGACATGCAGGATGCCTGTGCCTCCTGTTTCTGGCAGAAGAGGGGTGGGGGCAAGCAGTCCTTCAGCAGTTACTGAAAGCCCGCCAAGAAGAGTCCGTTCTAGGTGCCATGCTCCGTGAAAGAAACCCTGTGCCTTAGGGCTCACAGCCCTGTTGTTCAGCCAAGGAAGCAGACAAATGTCACAATGTGTCATGCGTCTTCAGGCTCCACAGAAATGGTATGAGCTGAGCTTTGAAGAATAAGTAGGGGATAAAGGGGTGGGGGAATCCGCATGTGCAGAAGAACAGAGGGCAAAATAACTGGCATGACCGAGGTGTGGGATGCAATGGAGAGAGACCCGGAGAGATGGTCAGGCTTCGATAATGAAGAGCCTCTTGTCACACACCAAGGAGTTGGGATTTATCCTGTAAACGGTGGGGAAACACTGAAGGGTTTTGTGCAGAGGCAGGAATGGCAAGATCAAATCTGAATGTTAGAAATAAAGTTCTAGGGGCTCACATGATGGTGAAGTGGAGAGGGTTAGTGCTGCCAGCAGGGGAACCGATGACGACGCCGCCCTGTGTTTGCATCCTGTGATCCTTCAGTTAAATGGCCCAGGGTGGCGACTTTTTACGCAAACTAGGCCAATTAGAGTCCCTTTCCTGAGAATTTGGAATCAGGGGAGAGGGAGCTATACCTTTGCTCATGGTTGGACTTACAATGGAAATTTGGGAACTTTGGGTAGCCACCTCTACTTGTCCATTTGACCTGAGTAGCATAGAAAACCAGCTTACTGAGAAGGATCAACCTGTTGCACACAGAGCAGCCATGTCTAGACACAAAGACCACCTCCTAGGTTCTTGGGGCCTTGAGCAGCTGGTTCCACTTCTTACTAAGGCCTAGCTTGATTCCTGCACTGGGTTCATGATGCATCCTTCTATCCATTCATATAGTCTTATTTTTGGCTTCAGCAAGTGAGGGTTACTTCCTGTGTTTGTGTTAAAGGATAATTTTCAAAAGTAAAATCATGAGCCCTATACAAATATGAATACATTTCAAAGATTTTATTAAACTCACTAATTAATGAGGGAACCAGTAAGATATTAAAACCAGTTCAAATGAGGACTCAACGTTTAGAATTGTCTTTTCTCTACTGGACAAAATTCATTTGCATCACAGGAATCATTTGCATAGTTATGGGCAGGAAACATTCTGCATTATCAGTATTCTACAAGTTAACTTCTATCTCCAAAGAGTTAGAAAACAGCCTAGTTGTAAAACAGGAACTCAGTCAAAGGAAATCAAAGGCTCTCACCTCTAATAGAATCAAATAATCCTCAAGGGTCCTTAGCACCCAATATTCCATTAAAAGGACACCCATTTCAAACAAAGTCTTCAACAATTTTTCTGGACAATTGCAAATCAAAGAATGTATAAAAACATAGAGCCATGAAAAACCTTAAGGAAACTACAAATAGTTAAGTGTGAGTGAAATGTAGGAAGAAGGCAAGGGTGAGGTTATGAATGGCCTTGTATATATGTTCAAGAGTTTGGATTTTATTATGAACACTGAAGACAACATTATTTAAAGCAGGGAAGTGATTTGAACAGATCTGCACTTTAGAAATCTCACTGTAGTAGGAGTTTGGATTTTGAATTAGAGGAAGGTAAGGAGACCAGTTAAGAGACTGGTAGTTATGATGAGAAGTGAGAGGATCTGAATTAGGGCAGTGGCTGAGGGCTTAGGTAAGAGGACAGTCAAAAGCAATTTAGGGTGTAAAATATGTAGCACTTAATGAGTAAAGAAATGTGTCATGGTGAGTAGGGGAGTGAGGTAGAGCAAATAGTCTAGGATGACTCCCAGAATCCTCCAAATGCTGTGTATTCTCCAAAACGCTTTACATGTATCTTAGAAGATTTGGGGCTGAAATCACAGGGATATGTTGGGGCTAGAACAGTGCTCTAGTTTCTCTGTTTCTGGCAGTGGTAAATAAGGTTGGGTTACTTCCCCCACAAGTTCTTGAAGATAAAGGTGCAGGGTGAGCTGGATGGTCCTGTGACCTCTCTGTGTTTCTGGGAGGCTATTGAAAGGAACAAGTGTGAACCTTGCCTATGTAAATTGGAGCTGCCTCTGTGTTTTCGCTATTGGCAGCAGAGAATAAAAACACTCAGCAGAGAATAAAAACACCCAGCAGAGAATAAAAACACCCAGCAGAGAATAAAAACAATCTAGCTCAGGTAAAAAGATGTCCTCAAACAACCCAACTTCAGAAAGCCCCTCATGACACTTTCTACTGGGATGGAACAGTGTCTTGTCTGTTTCTCTTTGGACATCTGCTTCATTCTTCTTTCTACAGACTAGATAACTTGGCTCACCTTCTCCTGTTATTTACAAGCAATCATGGCCATTTTAAAATGGAAGCCCCACTTCCTAAAACTACATGACCTTTGAATTCCTGTACTCATCACTGACTTAGTTTCACACAGTTCTAATTCTGATTCCTAGAGAGAGAAGCTATATTGTGCCAGTTGTAGCTAGAGGGAGTGGAGTCAATTGGTACAAATATGACCACCTAGAGTCACTGTGTGGGAGGAGTCAGTAATCTTTGAATTTAGTGTCTTGATTATCAGAGAGGAAGCTATTGAGCAAATCAATGGGATCATTTGATAAACCAGTGCCTGGTTATGCTCCATAGCCAATCTACAAAGTCCATTGGTCCTGTCTTTAAAATATATTGCATTCCATTGTAACCAAAGATAAAAAAGAAAAGAAAAATAGAAAGAAATTAATTGGCCAACTAATATATATAGAAAAAATTAGCCGGGCATGGTGGCGCATGCCTGTAGTCCCAGCTACTCGGGAGGCTGAGGCAGAAGGATTGCTTGAGCCTAGGAGTTTGAGGTTGTTGTGAGCTGGGCTGATGCCACAGCACTCAATCTAGCCTGGGCAACAAAGCAAAACTCTGTCTCAAACCCCCAAAAAACAAAAAAAAAGAAAGAAAAAAAAGTCGTGAAAATAAAAAAATTAAAAAAAATATATTGCATATTCATCCACTTATTTCTCAATTGCAACCACCTTAGTCCAAGCCACTACCATGCCATGCCTACACAACTGTAATTGCCTCCTAGTCACTTTTGCACCCCTATTCTCCATAGAGAAGACTGCCTGAGCAATCTTTTCAAATGGGTTTTAAAACTCTCCTCTGCTCCCCATCATATCTAACCACCCTGTTCTTTGCTCACCATGTTTATCTACATTAAGCTTCTTACTTTTTTTTTACACACAAAGCTTGCTCCTATCTTAGGAACTTTACACTAGCTATTTACTCTACGTGAAATGCCTTTCCCTCAGACCTTTGCAGGACTAGAGGCTCCCTGCCATTTATGTCTCATTTCACATGCTGCTTCCTTAGAAAGGCTTTCTCTGACTACTAATATATAGGCACACCTCATCGTATTGCAGTTTGCTTTATTGTGTTTCATAGATATTGTGGTTTTTGTTTTTTTTTTTTTTGTTTTTTTTTTTTACAAATTTGAATGTTTGTGGCAACCGTATGTTGACCAAATCTTTTAGTGCTATTTTCCCAATAGCATGTGTTAATTTCATGTCTTTGTGTCACATTTTGGTAATTTTCACAATATTTCAAACCTTTCCATTATCATATATGTTATGGTGATCTGTGATCAGTGATCTTTGATTTTACTATTATAATTGTTTATCTTATGGGTTTTTTTGAGATGAGGTTTCACTACGTTGCCCAGAGTGGTCTTGAATGCCTGGGCTTAAGTGATTGCTCTTGCCTCAGCCTCCCAAGTAGCTGGGACTACAAGCATGCCACTGCGCATGGCCCTGTTGTCATTGTTTGTGGCCGCCACGATCCATGCTCATAAAAAATGGTGAACTTAATAAATGTTGTCTGTGTTCTGATTACTTCACTGACTGCCCGTTCCCTCATTTCTCTCCCTCTCCTCAGGCTTCCTTATTTCCTGTGATATAATATTAAAATTAAGCTAAGTAATAACCCTACAGTGTCCTCTAAGGGTTCAAGTGAAAAGAAGAGTCGCACATCTCTCACTTGAAATCAAAAGTTAGAAATGATTAAGCTCAGTCAGGAAGGCATGTCGAAAGCTGAGACAGGCCAATAGCTAGGCTTCTTGAACCAAACAGCCAAGTTGTGAATGTGAAGGAAAAGTTCTTGAAGAAAATTAAAAATTCTGCTCCAATAAACACACCAATGATAAGAAAGTGAAACAGCCTTATTGCTGATGTGGAGACAGTTTGAGTTGTCAGGATAGAAGATCCTACCAGCTGCAACATTCCCTAAAGTCAAAGCCTAATTCAGAGCAAGGCTCTAAGTCTCTTCAATTCTAGGAAGGCTATGTGAGGGGAGGAAGCTGTGGAAGAACAGCTGGAGGCTAACAGAGGTAGTAGGTTCATGAGGTTTAAGGAAAGAAGCCATCCCATAACATTAAAATGCACAGTGAAGCAGCAAGTTATCCAGAAGATCTGGCTAAGATAATTGATGAAGGTGGCTACATTAAACAACAGATTTTTAATGTAGATGAAACAGCCTTCTATTAGAAGAAGATGCCATCTAGGACTTTCATAACTAGAGAGGAGAAGTCAATGCCTGGCTTCAAATGACAGTTGGACTCTTGTTAGGGGCTAAGGCAGCTGGTGACTTTAAATTGAAGCCAATATTCATTGACTGTTCTGAAAATCCTAGGGTCCTTAAGAATTATGGTAAATCTACACTGTTTGTGCTCTAGAAAGGGAATAACAAAGCCTAGATGACAGCACATCTGTTTACAGCATGGTTTGCCGAATATTTTAAGCCCGCTGTTCAGAATTACTG